CCTCAGGGCCAACAAGGAGAGTAGAGATACCAGGAGGATTAGGGGAGGGGAGGGGATGAAAGGGGGAACCAATCACAAGGATCAACATAGAACCCCTCCCAGGGGGATGAATATCAGAAAAGTGGGTTAGGGGTGACGAAGGACAATGTTAAGATCTGGAAAAAATAATCTATACCTTATCATGGGTTCGTGAGGGAGGGAGGGCGGGGAAGGGAGGGGGAAGAAATGGGGGAGCTGATATCAGGGGCTCAAGTGGGAAGAGAATGACTTGAAAATGATGATGGTGGCATTTGTGCAAATGTGCTTAACACACTGGATGAATGTATAGATTGCGGTAAGAGATGTGAGAACCCAAATAAAAGTATTCCAAAAAAGAAAGAAAGAAAGGGTTATGTGAACAATGCTCCAAAGAACTCAGCAGGTGACAAATGGATACCTTATTTTACAAAAGGATAAGAAGACATGGGAGATGAAGCCTCGTTTGGCAGAACTAACCACATAAACTTTCAAGGAAACAATTAAACTTTCTCACACCCTAATTGAAGAGGAGGGACAATTAACAGCAGAGAAAATAACCAACACCACGGGCACCTCAATTGGCTCAACTTACAAAATTCTGGCTGAAAACATAAAACTCAGCACACTTTGTGCTTGATGGTTGCCCAAACTTGTGCACCCATATGTATGACATCAGGATTGGAGGAAGGCTTATTAACAACATGAAGTGTGCAAATAACACATCCTTGCTCAAAGTGGGGAGGAAATGATGCTGATGAAGACCAAGAATGAAAGCCTTCAATTTGGATCACAACTCCATGTAAGGAAGACCAAAATCCTCACAGCTGGACCAGTAGGTGACATCATACTAAATGGCCAAAAGGTTGAATTTCTCAGGGATTTTGTCTTAACTTGGATCCACAATCAATGCCCATGGAAATAGCAGTCAAGAGATCAAAAGAAGAGTTGCATTAGGTGAATCTCTGCACAAGACCTCTTTAGAGTATTGAAGAGCAAGCAGGTTACCTTGAGGACAAAGGTGCCTGACCCAAACTATGTTATTCTCCATTGCATTATATGCATTTGAAAGTTGGACACTGAATATGGAAGACCATAGAAGAATCATCTCATTTGAATCGTAGCGCTGGAGAAGCATATTGAAAGTTCCATGGACTATTAAAAGGACAAACTGATCTGTATTGGAAGAAATAAGGCCAGAGTGCTCCTAAAGACAAGGATGGCAAGATTTTGTCTTATATACTTTGGACATATTGTCAGGAGAGACTAGTCCCTAGAGAAGGAAGTCGTGTTTGGTAAAGTGGAGGTGTGGTGACAAAGAGGAAAGCCCCTGGGGAGATGGATTTGCACAGTGGCTGTCTCAGTGGGCTCAGCATGGAAACAACAGTGAGGATGGCGCAGACTGTTCAGTGTTCTGTTGTGTAGTGCACAGGGCCGCTATGAGTCAGCGCTGACTCGATGGCACCTAACAACAAGCCAGTGCTTAGTCTCGTGTTTACCCGATAATCCTGTTATATCCCTATCAGACCTTCAGAAGATATAGAACCTTCAGGCACAATGTGTACCAGTCTTCCCTTACTCCCTGTATTTGGGACACATCAGTCTGTTACAGACCCTCATCTAAAAGCACAAGCTCACTGCCACCTTCTAATCCCCTGAATTATTTTTCCTTTGCCTGTAGTCTGCTCTATGCTCAAATCCTGGCTTCATTAACTCCTACTCAATCTGTACATCACATTTTAAATGATACTTCCTCAAGAAAGCTTTCTTTGCACTCCTTTCAATGGGGCAAGTCCTCCTCACTTTGTGTTACAGAGTATTTCATTCAATTTCCTCATGATAAGTAAATGTTTGTAACCGAAATGTATTTGTGCAATTATATATAGTGGTTGTCTTTCTTCCCTATTGCATGTTACACTTATTCAGAGCAGAGGCTATACCTGACTTTCTTTTCCCTTGTTCCCTATTGTTGACCACCATGCTTGGCACATAACTGACATGTAAAAGTATCTTTAAAATAATAAAGTAGAAAAGAAAAGTTTGCATGTCCTTGAACCATTTTCACATTCTCTCTTCATCTTCTGTTTTAAAAAATCAGTTACCACCCAATAATCTGTCAAGCCATTACCAGAATAAATATGTACTCCTCATCACCATGGCTCCAATCTAATACTTTTAATAAGTATTTGACACATTCAAAATAAGAAAGTCTTTGAATATTATTTAATGCATAATTTCAGCTTTCAGTGGATCTATAATAAGCCATTCTAAATAATTACCTATAATCTTTTCATACTTCTACAACCTCAAGTCACAGAAACAAAAGAAATAAAGAGACCTCACAACGGGTCCTTTAACAAGCCTTTGGCAGAATTTTCAAATTCTTTTAGAAAATGTCCCTATTAAATGTTTTTTTTCCCCCAAAAAAAAATCTTTAACAGGAATTCTATAATTAATGGCCCATTCAGCCAGCACTCATCATCCTTAAAAACATTCATTAGACAACTATTTTGAATAATAATAAGTGACTTGGGTTAGTCCACTTGAAAACTTAAGTATAAGAAAGTCAAAAATGATAAAGGCACAAAATTAAAGAACAAGAAGACAAAAACTATTCAAATATCTGAAGAAAGATACATAATGTATTCAGTCAATCATTGTGAATGGAATGATAAGCAAGTCAATCCAGTTGTAAATCGAAAATAACATCACAACTTTAGGTACTTTTAGAGTGTTAACAATGGAAAGGGAAATTATTTATGGTGAAGATGAGCACAATGGCGTCAGGCGCAAGACTCAAATAGCACCATGATCTTAGGGTGGAGGCCAGAAAAGTTAATAGTCCACACGGGAATATGGCCAGGGTCTAGGATAAAGTGATATGGACATAATGTCAAGGTGGAAGGAGCAGAAAACATGAAATAATAACAATACAATAAAAATCTAAAAAAGGATAGAAAATTATTGTCTGCTTTCTAGTTAACATTTCAAGGGACATAAGAGTGATAGTACCTTTATGTTACTTTTTGTAACAAAATGTTCAAAACAAAACATGCTTACCATTAATGGAAAACAGCAGACACCAAAAAGAAAAACTTCAAGAAGGAGCCCGGCTATTTGTACTAAATCCTCTTCTCTTCTGAAGCTCACTTACTGTGCTGACTTTATTAATGTCCTTGATTAATAAAGTTCAACTGACACCAGACTTTTAAGACTTCAATATCTAAACCACTTGCTCTGATTCTCCTAATTTCAGTACCTTTAACTATCCATGGATTCTTCTGCATCACTTCAAACTACGTAAGGACACCTACAAGTGAGTTCATCACATTTTCCAGTAGAGTCCTTTTTCCTATGTCCTTTCCTAATTTCAGTCATATTCTCTTCCAGTTGCGAGGGCTTTATCACTTTTGTATCCTACATTTGAAAAATCAAGTCTGCTGAATCATCCTTTATCATTTCTTTTTGTATCCAGAACTTCTTTTTCACTATTACTGCTACCACACCAGCTCATCGCCGTCTTCAATTTCCGCTTGGGAAGTTGCAAGGGACTATTATCCAGCATATTCTATACACAAAAGTTAAGTGGAGGTTTATAACATGTCTTTATTCATCACTTGCCTTTGAAATGCATTCGAGACCTCTGCTACATCAGCTGTGCTCAGAGTTTGATCTAGGGATGCCTGCAAGTTCGTCATCCCTTCTTAGTTATCTGAGAGGTCGGAACTATGGTCATAAAAATACCAATCCATTGCATGCCTATTTCACACTCATTCTCTCATGAGTGTATGCTGGAATTTTCCAGAGGCTGTATGAAATGAAAAAACTGCAGCGAACTGAATGCACATGCAGATATGAGACTCCAGATACATAGAGTCTAGTCAATCAGAAATTACAGAGGTTTACAAAATTAATAAATAAATAATGTTAAGCCACTTTTCTCACGATGACTTTTTAAAAAAACACCTAATTCCATATGTTCACACGTAAAGAGTTTATTGATTAAATGAATTACTATCTTTCATTGTTCTCAGTTATAAGACAATAAATATCAATAATCATGATATATACAAAAATTACTTCATATCCTCACACGTTTAAGAGGGCAAAAGTCCCTGGGATTAAAATGTTGAGGAGTGCTGCATTATCTGAATGTCTGAATGACCCTGAACATTCTTAAATGTTCTTCTGAAGATCCCAGTGTGTGTGTCTACAAGTGCGATTCCTAATTAAATTCTTTCACCTCATCATTCTAGTCAACCAATGTTGACTTCATGCCACAAACTTATCCGTCTTCCTACCTTTTTTCTGACCTAAGTTATTTCCTGTATCGAGCTGTCAAAATTCCACCAATCCATCAAGGCAGGATGCAAGCTCTCCATTTAAACTCCAATCTATCCCCTCTCTTCCTCTACTCAGGCCAGTTGTATTGGCACGTTACCTTGAATTATTACCTTATCACTATTTGGTTTTAGTTTTGCTTTTCTTTGAGGGGAAGGAATCTTGTAACTTTAAAATAATAACTTATATACAATATACAATTAATACATACTTGCTATTTTATTCATAATATAAATAATGAAAGCAATAAAAGTAGAGACTGAATTGTTATATCTCAATTAAAAATCATAACTTTGGTTGTCTAGATTCATCTGCTGCGCCACTCAGGATTGGCATCTCATTTCCCCTCTGCACCTTAGCAGGAGAAAAGAATCCCTACCAACTGTGTTCACCTTGCAGTGATCATGTTGGACCCGGAAAACCTACCTTGCTAACTGGTCTTTGCCTCTTTTCCTTATTGCTACTTACCCACCCAAGAGATTCCTTGTCAATTCTAAGATAATCCTGTAGGCCCCGTGACAGTATTATTGCTTCAGTTCTTGCTAATTGACTTTATTTCTAAAATCATGTTGTTGTGAAGTACCATCAAAGCAGTTTTGATTCATAGGGACACTGTGGACAACAAAATACTGTCTGGTCCTGCACATCCTCATAACCGCGCTATGCGCGTGCCCATTGTTACAACCACTGTGTCTTCATCTTGTGGAGGGCCTTGCTCCTCTTTGCTGCCCTCTACTTTCCAAACATAGTGACATCATCGTGATTCGAACTCTTGCTTATGTGTCCAATTGGTGAAGAAAAGTTTTTAAAGTATCAACAAAGAGGAAAGCTTTCCGATGACGGAAGAAAGTTGCCAGGATGATGAAGGAGAACAAAGTCCTGAGTCACTTTGCAACTTTTCTTAAAAAGGCTAACTGCAAATACTTGCTATCCCTTGTAAATACTTTAATATTTAAAACATATATATTTAGTATCACTCTTCCTATTTCTCCAGACAAAAAAAATATATGATCCTCCTCCACTCATCATAAATAGTTTCCCCATATCTTAGCCATTTTGATTCTTCCTCAGCACAATGTTCACCGAGAGAATATACTTTTGATAACTGTGTGTGTTTGTGCATCCAGAGCCACGTGTCAGTAAGATTTGGGATTTAAACTTACACTCTTTTCATGGTCTAAAAATAATATAGAAAGCTTTTTTTAAAGTGATAATGGCTCTAAGGATCCCGGCAGATACAAACCCAAAACATTTCTGTACAGAAACATCAAGCCATCTTTCAAAGAGTCTAAGCAAAAAAAAAATCTCTTTGTGAAATTCTAGGATGCCTGGAAGGATTATTGTATAGATTTTGATTTAGGATTCCTATGAGAGTATCGGTGCCTGAGAGCCTGAACCTGCAACTAGTTCAATCAGATTAAACTCATTTAAGCCTTCCATATGCTGTCGAAGACTGGCCAGCAGTGGGAAAGCCCTCACCTATTCCTGAGGCCGGGGTAAAGGCGTGGATCTGGTGAGCAGGAGCAAAGTCCAGAGACTGGAAATAGCGGAAAGCAGACTGCCCTGTCTCCCAGATGAAAACATCAGTTGAATTCTTGGCTCCTACAATAATGAAATAAAAATGAAATCTGAAGGAAAATAATAACTGAATTACACATAGAACTATAATAAAATATGAAATGTATTTTAAAGATAGAAAATGTATCAGAATTAATTTCATTTAAAAATACATCGTCATAGGAAGAACATCAAATGATTTAGCATTTACCAGACAAAGTGTGACTAACCACATTATATTGTTAAAAAGAACAGAAAAATAGTTTTAGTGAAAGCATTATTTATGACTACTATATACTATCTAAGGGACTACATGTAAAAAACATTAAAAGCTTATCGGTTCATACTTTGGGTATGATATCTTCAAACATCTTTTCAGTGTACTCTCCATAATTTTAGTTAATTAAATTTTGAAGCAGTGGTTAAAATCATCACCTGATTATGGGCATAAAATTGAAGGTTTGTTGTTTTTTTTTTCCCCAAAAAAGATATTTCTAATAGGTAGTCAGTACTTGTCATCCATCAAGTAACATACTCGGTTAGCTAAAAAATCATAAATGAACCATTTTCATACAAACATATGATATAAATGCTAGATGTGTTTGGTTAAAACTATATATACATTACAAAGATAACTCTCACCTAGCAAAGTATTTTTGGCAAAAATTAGGTAAACATCATCGCCCGAAGCCAAAGCCTCAACTTGCGCTGTCCCACTGACCGGAACGTCAAGAAAGTTAATAAACCCACCATCAGACCATCTGAACAAAAGGGCATTTAGCCTGGCATTAGCCTGGGAGACAGCTAAGAAGACAGAGCCTCCTCTCTTGAACAATGCCATGCTCAGCACACCTCGCACAGGGAGTGTTTGATGAAACACGAAGTTTCTTCCATTCCACCTGAAGACCTGTAGGAAATGGTCAAAAACACGATCCTTTACCATGAGGAAACGAGCACTTTTGAAGATTTAAATATGAATGTCATGTATTTATATCTTTGGATCCAAGTTTGCAATGGGGCTTCAAAAGTTAAGGAGAAATTTCCATTATTTTTTAAGTCTGCTTTTCCATGAACTTTTGGGTGCCCCTACCTCCAATTAGGAAAATAATTTCATAAATGAAAAAATATCCAAGCTCCCCCTCTTTCAGTGTGATTACATGTGTATGTATGCATGTACACCTGTAGAATGAGTGAAAGATACAATAGTTCAAAATAAATCTGTTTGAAATATATATATCTGGATAGGGATTGGTGATAGTTCAGAAAGAAAAGGTTAAAAATTGAGATAATTCATCTAAACATGAGTAGTTTAGTAAGAAGTAAGAAAACGGAGTCAAAAATGTCCTGTGCTGTGGTCTCATTATCAAAAGCAGACAACAGTGAGAAACTCCTGACGTTTCCAGTCTCCATGTTGGCAATGCATAAAAGATTATGGGAGTTCAAGGAGTGAAAAGAAATTAAAAGATTTAGTTTATTAGGAAAATGTATGACTGCTGGATTCATATTGAGGACCGATTTGGCAATGTTAATCACAAATTTTCAGTGATACCACATATTCAATTGTGTGATTTTTTTTTCCCTATAGAGTTTTAAAATTAAGTTAAATTCTAATAAAATGTTTATGTTTACTGTATCTATGTTGGCTTCTAAAGGCAACATAATACTAATAATTTTGTTGAATAATTAGCTGTAACTAATCAACATCTACATTATTTTGACAAAAATTGAATTCTGATTTTCTTTATATTAAACCAAAGATCATATACTGATGAATTTTAATTACAGTATGAAAAGAAAATATTTTCAAAGAGTCAAACCTGAGTTAATTCAGAATCATCTTGTTGACTTGCAACAATTAAGTAATTTTGACTATCTGAAGTAAAAAATTTTACTTGGGAACTTTCTGATAAAATGATTGTTTGTACCTACAAAAATAAAAAGACAGAGAAAAATGAAATTAAAAGAGACTTTAACAAAAGGATGGCATAGAGTAAACTTATGAGTTAATAACTGAAATTTAAGTCCGAAGAAAATAATTTTGATTGCTAAATATGCATATCCAGGAATCAATGCAAGAAAGAAAAAATTCCCTCAATTAAATGTGTAAACAGTTTTTAAAAAATCACTTCTTCACATTACAGAGAACAGACATTATCTTCCATCTAAATAAATCTGACAAATCTGATTTTTTCCCTTTAATAAAGAAATCTACAGTAAAAAGTTATCCTTACCAGTAGTAATTTGAATCCAGATGTGAATGTATACACACTGTTAACATAAGACTTTTCTTGATTTATTTCTTCATGTGTAATAACAAAGTAGGGAGAAGGACCTATGTTAAAGATCTCACAAGTCTTAGGGTATTCGATAGTTAGGTCCTAGAAAATGAGGAAAAGTATAATAGTTATTCACAATGCATCCAAAATTAAGATGTACAGTTTGTTTTAGCCACATTCAAAAGTGCCATCTTACCTCAACTGGGACAAATAGCCCTTGCCATCGGTAGACAGTAGAAAATCCCATAGATGATCTTCTCAGCATTATACCATATACTGAATCTTCCAAAGTAAAGAAACACCAAGCAGAAGCTGATTCATTAAAAAAACTTTGAAATATGGAAAGAACAATATCCATCCCCCCTGCAAAATAAAATTATTATTTATGAGTGCACACTCCTTCCAAAGCTCACCATTCTCAATTTACTGGTTAAGCAGTAAGACCACGGGATGCATTACCAGAAATAAAATTCTTACATGATGTGTGTGTGTGTGTGTGTGTGTGTGTCTGAGAGAGAAGTTAAAATTAACTTAAAAGTAGCACTTAATTAACAATTTCTATTTTTAAAAAGTTAATACTTCATACCACATAGAACTTCCCAAAGTATATTTAAAAATAAAGACAAATTGTAGATTCAAAGATAATTTGCTGAACATGATTTTTATCAATTTCCAGAAACATGACAAAACTGTATATAATTTTCAAATATCTTCATAGAAATGAAAGTGTTTTTAAGTTTATACTATTTATTTGAAACAATGCATCTCCAGTGATTTCTCACTCTAAACTATACATATTTTGAAAATGACAAATCAAAGTCTTATCAATCTACTAGATCTGGAAATCACCCCCCGAAATAGCCATTTAAAAATCCTAAATTATATGTTATGACTATTTCTCAAAGAGTGTAATTTCTTCTTAAACTTTAGTTAATAACAGCAACACAATGCAGCAGGAGCCAATGTAAGGTTATGGCAGGGATCTTCATCAATTATTAAACGTGCTTGTCTACCCATTCAAGCAGTCATAAGGTCAATGCCGTACACATAATATATACTAGAATTTCCAATCTTAGAAATGCAATATTTAATATTCCTATTTCAATGCCATTTGAAGGTTCACTGCAGCATTTTTATTAAGAGTTCTAACTGGTGCTGACCATTTGGGCTAATCTTTCCCTATTGTAATTCAAGAAACGGAAGGAAGAGACAACAAAGAATGCTGGCATTTAAGAATCTCCAGCTCCTATATCTACTGTTAAAAAACACAGGGAGAGTCCAAATAATAACATATCTGAATGAGAAATTTTCCTTCTTGAATTTCATGCTTCCTCCTGGCTTCTCTGAATATTCAATATTTGCTGATCTATGATCATTTAAACATGAACATACAAAAGAATCTCTGAACCTCACATCCCCACCCTCCCACTGCCTTTTCCAGATCACAGCTGTCCAGTTCTACTTCTGAAATAGCTGGTCACGGTTCCATTTCTTCACTTCCATTCAAAATGGAATTCCATTTTTATCCACCCATCCACACAGCTCTTGTCACAGTCAGTAAGGTCTATGACATCATGAACTCCCAGGGTGGGTACTTTCCTAGTTCCTTCCTCACACAATCTGTCATCAGTGACGGACCACTCTCCCCTTTGAAAACCACTTGCGTTGGTGTCTGCAATTCTCTATCGTCTTGGCCTTCCACTAGGTCCCCTAGCTTCTTTTGCTAGGTCATCCTCTTCTCCTCACTTTTTCTATTAGAGCCTTCTCACAACTCACTTCTAGATCCTCTTCCTGGCCCCACTGGCAGTCCCACTTTCCAGGTTATTATATCAATTTACATGGCTAAAAATGCAATACACATGCTAGAGATTCCCAAGTTTACTTCTCCAGAGGGGAACCTCTCTGTTGAGATCTACAGAAATTTTCTCTCAAAAAAAAACACAAACCCTCATATTAAATTTCATTTATTTTACTATCTTCATTAAAATAACACTTTGTTCATTTCCAATATTTCATTTCTTAGTGAATGACACGATCCTACATTCCACACTACAGGGTGGAAAACTGGTAGTAGGCCCTGATACCTGTGTCCCTCCCTCCATCGTAAACCAATATCTTTCTTCCCTTATGTCTCCCAAATGATTCTCTATATGAAGCCCAGAATATCTTCAAAATGCAAATGTGGTTATTCCACATATATGTAGACATGCACACGGTAACCCTTCTGTAGGCCTTAACTTCTCAAAGGTTTAAAGTGCCATTAGACTAAAAATGGGCATTCATCATAGTCTTCAAATTATGAAATGATCAGGTCCAATCTTTTGCTGCAACTGACACCTCTTTCACATGTCTACGTCCACTGTCCTCTCAGGCAGTCTGCACTGAGGATCTATTCCTTATGCCTCTTCGCTTCTAACGAGACTATTTCCCACTCTTTGTCTCATACCCATTTCTTTGCATACTCGATTCTACTTATCGTTAGCTCTCTGTTAAACACTGATACTCGTAAGCAGAAGTCTTTCATAGAACCTAGATCGTTCCCTTGAAAACATATATTGGAATTTAAACTAAACAGTGCTGCTTACTTGTTTCTATTGTGTCCCAAACTATATTCTAGGTGCTCAGCACCATGTCTGACACACAATGGGGAGTTAGCAAATATTTGTGGATACAGTAAAATGAGTACATTCTTCCCCCCCCACCCACTTTTTTTAACAGATGATAAGAGACAATTCTAGGAGGAAATGTAAGCCTCAGACATGCAAACTTCCTTGGCTAAAGAATTTTGTTTTCATCAGAAATTAAACGTACGCATGCCGAAGGCTGTTTCAGATACTGTCTCCCACTCCACACTCACAGCCAACTCAATGCCATTAGCGCGTGACACGTTCAAAAAAAGAGGCCGGTTCGCTTCTTCGATGGCGATAGAGGTAGCCCTAAAAGAGACAAAGGGGATGCAAAGCAGAAAAAGTATGATTTCTACATAATTACAATAAATATCACAATGCTAGCATGTGCTTAATACACATTTAAATGTACACAAGCTAGTGTGAAAACTGAAAATTGTTTAAGTAAGTCTTAACATAAAATAGTACCAATAAAGAGAAATAAAAAAACCAACCTAATGTAACACTCTGAAAATACAATCATGAAAATCTACTTAAAATCAATAATTCTACATTACATATTTTTAAAAGTAGAACATTGTCATTACTGATTATTACATAACTAAATTAATTTTGTAAGAAAAAAATGAACCAGGAAATTCTTAGCATATTAATAAAGCTCTAGATATATAGAAATGCTTTTAAGCTATAAAAATTAATATTTGCCAGCTTCCAGAGGACATCTGACACTCCAACCTGTTATCAAGTTCAAGAGTAACTAACTTGGTTTTAGCTGCTAAATATATTTTTTTATTGCTTCTCAGTTTTCACTAGTATTAAAAAACAAAAATAGTGCAAGCCTTGGTCTTAAAATGTGAACTCTGAGAAAACAAGACTGTTAACCACACCACCATATTGAACATGTTTAGCTTTTAATGGTTCCTTTTATGAGATATCAAGAGACCTCAGTGTATTTCTCTGCTAGAGCGCATTTGAAAATTTCACTTTAAAATAATCAGAGATCAATTTCCTTGTATGTTTTCTTTCTGTTAATAAAAGCATGTCCCACTTAGCCTTAGACTATACCTATTTTCAACTGCTGAGATACTGAATAGTCCTAGCGGGGCCTGGTTTTGTAAAACTGTTATCCGGGTTTGAACAGGTGCCCCCAGTCGAGCACCTCCAGTTGGGTTAAACAAGGTACAAACAAAATGCTCATCCATTTCTGGTTCTGTGTCTAATATGGCAGATATGTGTAGGGCCTGAAATTCAAATCAGAAGATAAACGTATTAGAACACAGTGTTTTCCAACACACATACAGAGAAATTGCTAAACAGTTTTGACAATAAGGTAATATGTTCTGGAAAATGACATGGTTTTAATACACATTCCCATATTGTAAAAGTTACAGCTATTTTAGTGTACTGTATTCAGAATTTCCATTACTATGATATAGTGCCCTGAAGTGTCTAAAAAAGAAATGTTTCAGACATTTCAAAATAATACTAAACTTAAAAATTAAATATATCACTTCAGTTTCATGTATCCTTCCCTAGCTCCCTAACTTTTAGTCTTGCCTCCTTGTTAAAAGCCACCATGCTAAGAAAGCGCGGCCATTGAGCCGGTTCTGAGTCACGGCGACCCTACAGCAACACGACAGTGACCGGAAAGGACAGAGCAGAATTGGCCTTCGGGGCTGCTGAGACTGCAACTCTGACAGGAGTAAAAACCTCATCTTTCTCTTGAAGAGGGGCAGGTGCTTTAAAACTAACGACTTCACAGTTAGCAACCCAATGCTTAATTCACTGCACCACTAGGGCTCTGACAGAAAGCAACCCCCAAATGAAAACTTTTATCAAATGTTTTATCAAAATGGAAATGTTTATCAAGAGAATGGATAAAGCGTCCATTCCAACTGCTGGCGATGCTGTAGGACAAAGCAGAACGGCTCTATCGGAGTTCCAAAGACGAAGCTCTAGGGGGCAGCAAACTGCCACGTTTTACTACCGTGCAGGGGCTGGCAGGTTTGAACCACCAATCTCGTGGTTAACAGCTGAGCACTTCACCACTCACTGCGTGACCAGAGATCCTCAATGAAATGCCACTCAGCGAAAATTAAAAAAAGAACTCCTGATAATTTACAACCATGTGGAGTTCACCAATTACATGAAAGCAAAGTAGCCAGACACAAAGGCATGCATGATTTATGACTCTACTATATGAAGTTCAAGAAATGGCAAACATGAGGCTTTCATGATAAAAATCAGAAAAGTTTCCTCCTCGGAGGATCCTAATGGCACTCAGGGATCCACACTGGGCTGGTTACCACAGATCTGTGATTGAAACCCACCAGCTGCTCCACAGGAGAAATACAAGGGTATATGCACCCAAAGATTCACAGCCGCAAAAACTCTACATAGGAGCATCAAATCAAATCAACTTGATGACAGCGGGTTTGGTTTCGAGGCTTCCGGGAGGGAGGTGGACAACAGTGTTGTGACCTGCAGAAAGGCATCAGGGCATCTCCTAGTACGAAGGTAAGATTCAAGACCTTAATGTACTCGGTGGTTACATGAACGTGTGTGAGTGTGTGTGTGTGTGTGTGTGCACTTGCGCATGTAGTCAAGTATCCATACATAAAAATATGAAACGTTTACTATTTACAGCTCAAAATAAAAAGATGTGAAATAAGTAATTACAAAAATTAAAACAAAATTTATTTCAATTAATTGCGCTAACATTCCATTTGCCTAATGAACAGAAGTCAGAAAACAAACTGTAAAGAATGTTTTAAGCTACAGTAAATATGAAGAAGCTACAAATTCATAAAACACCCCAATTTTATTTTTAACCTATTTACATCAAAATGCAAATGACTTCTTGAACAAATCAAAGGTTCTAAATACCAAGAACATGAAAAATTAGATATGCAAATGAGTGTACATTTAAAATATGTGGTGAATTAGACTGATGATTAAGCAAATTATTCATCGATTGGATTTTTTTTAGATGAAATGAAGTATAACATTTCAAATGAGCCATATCTCAAACATGTCTATAGCTCGTAAAATTAGCTATTTAAACTTAAACTGTGTTTTAAAGATACGGTTCAGTAGCAGGAACAAAAATTTGTTAATATATAACTAAAGCGGTTTTGAAAGGTAAATATTTGCAAATGTAGTTCCTATTTATATTAATCTTGAATCATTTTTTCTGCAATAAATTATTCCTATTCACGTAGAAGAGGGCAGTGCTGGTTCAGTGGTATACTTTTTGCCTTCCACACAGGAGACCTGAGTTAGATTCCACACTAATACACTGCAAGTGCGACCATCGTCTGTGCAGTGGAGGCTTAACATGTCGCTACAACGCTGAACAAGTTCCAGTAGAGATTTCAGACTAACACAGAGTAGGAAGAAGATTCTGAAAGTCTTGTAGATCACAATGGCGGGATCCCATTGTACATGGGATTGCCAGCAGCTGGGAGTTTGACTCAATGACAGCTAGTGACAATATTCACACGTGACAGTTGCTTCTCAAGTGAGCAACCTAAAGTGAGCAGTTATATATTACTCAACTAAATATGTGGCAAGAGAATGGCTGGCCAGGCTGTAATGATTGCAATGAATAGTGTAGAGTTATTTTTAAATTTATGGTTTCTAAACAATATAAAGTGGAGCATACCACTTAAGTATGTTTACATTATAAAATATCAATATTTATTATCTTTATTAGTTACACATCACCTTACAATATTACCAAGCAAATTTATCTAGCGAAACTGCACGATAGCACTTTTCTCACAGTGACTGGGAGTTTGGTGTTCTCGCATTTGTATTTGTTTTCCTTCTTTAAGACCAAGTGTTTTCTGCTATGATGGTCACAGTTTATGTCAACTACCCTCCTGGGTGAAAGTGGGGATGGAGCCAAACCTATCAATCAGGTAGAAGCCTGAAGGCACCTCTTGTGGGTAACACTTTGCATAAGAAAGAGATTCCAATCAGAGCTGAGCTCTTTTTGGCCCTTCTCCTTCTGCTGGAGTTGGATCCTAATCTCATGCACTGATCTCCTGTGGTGTCACCTGTTGTTCCCAGGAACCTTGAGAGCACCATCAAACTTGGATTCAATCAGCTGACCTCAGATTCATGCACCTCTACATCCGGTGGTCCTCCTGCTTTATCATCCTGCTTCCTGTTCAACTGTCACAAAATTCCACAACTACATGAGTCAGGAGAAGCCTCACTTGAAGAGGACAGGAATTGCCCATATCTACAACTGTGTAAGTCATTTCGTGATGTATACATATATCTACAAGGATCACCAGTTTTGCTCTTCGAGTGAACCCAAGGTAAGAGATCCTCAAAGAGAAAATTATTTCTTTTTTTTTCTTTTTTTTAGGCTTTCTTCCTTCATTATTTATTTATTCTTTAAAATCATTTTATTGGGGGACTCATACAACTCTTATCATAATCCATTCATACATCCATTGTGTCAAAAACATTTATATATTTGTTGTCATCATCATTTTCTTTTTTTTTTTAAATCATTTTATTAGGGGCTCATACAACTCTTATCACAATCCATACACACATCAATTGTGTAAAGCGCATTTGTACATTCATTGCCCTCATCATTCTCAAAACATTTTCTCTCCACTTAAGAAAATTATTTCTTAAGTATTAAAGATAACCATCTCTGCTCATTAAAGGTTCATACTATACCTTGAGTCGAACACCTTCTTCTAAAACAATGTAGCCTTTAGAAGGGGTCAGATCTTTCGATTCAATTGAAGAATTCACTTCTGTCACAATGAACTGCGTTGTCACAGTTCCAAAGAGCCCTTGTGATGGTTCTCGAACAACGTACAATATGGCAACACTCTCTTGTACATAGACGGCTGTTGGTTCTCTTAAGAAAAAGTGCTCACTGTTGTTAAATGATAAAACTCCAGGACCATCATCATTAGCAAGGACAGTCATCAAGGCTGTGAAAAGGCAAATATTAAAATAAAAAAATCAGTCAAATGAGTTAAAAATGATGGAATAGCATGGATTTTAACTGATATCTAGTTCCACTCTCTCTAGATAATATTAGAAACTAAGAAAAAATTTCAAATCATTTAATGAACTTTATTAACTTATAAAATACAAATACTCAATAGTCAGACTAAAAGAAGCGTCCTTAATCTGATTCAGTTATATATATATCAGAAGGCTATAACAAATACCAAACTTAACATTGAATTTCAAAGCATTCCCACTAAAAATGAAACAAGATAATGATTCTTGTTGCCACTCTACTATTCAATATTGTCCTACGGATATAAGCCAGGAACAGGTATAAAACTTATAGGAAGGAAAAGTTAGAATAGAATTGTCCCTATTTTCTGGAAGACATGGCTTTTTACTTAAAAAATGCAATATAGAAAAATTATTAGAAGTATATAAATCAGAAATATAGGCTGAGCAACTTTAAAAAATCAAGTGTTCTATTTACTACCAATAAAAATATTAATAGCAAGTTCAACAACAACTAAAATTATTTAGTATTTACAAAATGCTTAACCAATTTATGTTAAGCATATAAATTACACCTCATCATAAAAACAAAAATCTTCATAATTGGACTGTTATGACATATTATGATAAAGGAAGAAAACACTGAAATTATCCGGGATTTCACTTCACTGAGGACACACTCACCAGCAGCATTCACCAAGAAATCCAACAATGTGTTATAAAGACATCTTTAAAAACCTTTAAAGTAAAGATGCTACTCTAAAGCAGTGGTTCTCACCCTTCCTCGTGCCACCACCCTTTCAT